TAAAGTTAGATTTTTAAAATAAAAAATCCAACGCTTGCTTCTTGAATATATATTGCTTCAACTTTACAATCCAAAAAAAGAATCTTCCTGTTATGAAGAATCAGCAGCAGGTGGGTGACTCACTTCCACTGACAGAATGACCGCGTCTGGTTTATTGTCTTCAACAAATAAAAGGATTTCTAATGAACCCCGACAGGTTATTTGGAAAGTGCTGAAGAACTAGGATCAGGTGCAGTTTTAGGTTTGTTTTGTTATTTTTCAATATTCATCTAACCTGTCAGGATCTCATCCAGATTTTTATTATATTATTTTATTTTTGGAATAATGAATGGAATTGTTTTATCAGTATTGATGCAGAGAGCATGAGGTGGGAAAAAATATACATTCCACTGAAATGCTGTCATCCAAATCTTTTGTTTAACTGACAAGAGTTGTCATGTTCTTTCGGTACCTGATGGGCAGAGTGTAAACTGATAAACAGCTTAAAATGAAATTGTCAATCACCATTACAAAGCCTCAGCTACTTTCTTCTTCAGCTGGAACGCAGTAAGAGGCCTCAAAATTCAGATTCCCTGTGCCCCTCTGGACATAGCAAGAGACAACGAACTTTGTGAGTATGATACCGGCCTCAGGGAAAGAGGGAACAACTATTGAGGAATGATACTTGGGGGTGTATTATAATCATTCTGGAAATAGCAGTTTTTACTCCTTGTCTCAGGAGAAGAAATGTTGCTGAATAGATGCATATAAAGAGAGACATGCAGCTTCCAGGTAGGGACCTAAACACAGCCAGCCTTCAAAAGTCACACTTCTACAAATTTTGCAATGCTGTTCTCCAGGCAAGTAATATGCACAAAATCATACACAATATATATTTGTGTAATATATATTAATAAATATAACATACAAGCATGTGTTACATTGGGGGGATGTATATTATGGGAAGCTGCATACACACCTGTGTAAATCAGTAGAAATTTGTACTAAAATGCTGTTGAATTTTCACGAGTGCTTTTTTTAAAAAAGCAAACTAATGTGGAGAACTGAAAATAGGATTGGAAAATGAGAAACTAAATAAAAAGATTTACTGTTCATCTCTACTACCAGGTGACCTATTTATTGTGGATTCATCCTCAATGTTTTTGCACATTGTTTGCAGGGAAGTTATATATGACTTCAGCTGTTTATGGAGCACCCATGCCGATTAGTTTCCAGGGAGGCTACATCAAACAATTGTCCACATTTTCCAGTGCCATCATGTTCCCTACTGCAAGAAGCCAATCTTATTTCTTTTCTCTTTTGGTCTACTAAAATTTAGTTGAATACCACCCAGTCCAAGCCATTTCTCTGCAATACCACACAAAACAATAGCTTCTGTGTCTGTAGCTCCTTTTGCCTCTTAAGCCAAACAGAACCATTATTATTATTATTATTATTATTATTATTATTATTATTATTATTATCTTACTACAAAAAAAGTCTCAAAGCAGCTTACATTTTTTTCCAAAACACACACACAATAGCAAATTAAAATACATCAGAAGATTTAAAAACACTAACTAAAAGTGCTGATTTTGCAGTAGCATAAAAGAAGCACACCCTCCTCCACCAGACTACAACACAAACAGCACTTAAGAGTGAAGCGCTGGAATAAATTAACATGGAGTTACATGCGACTTTTATATTTAAGTACATTTAATAATCTCTCCCCCGCCCACTCCAGATAATGTGACTCCCACAAAGTCTCCTACTCAGGTATTGGCCAGACTGAGACCTCCACAGTTTCAGTAAAATGGCTGTATTATGCACCTTTATATTATGCTCTGGTAAAGGCAGCCTGTTCAATGCTGGCTCCAAGATCTGGGGAGAACAGCTCTTGGGCAAGTTTCATGCAGATGGGTCCCTTTAGTCTGGAAGATACATTCTGACATTCCTTTTTTGTTCTTTTGGGATAGCCCATACAAAGAGAATGTCAGTGCTATAAGAGAAGAGTGCTGGTCCTAAGGCTCCCATCAGATGCTCAACTTTGCCACTACCTGGAAGTGGTCCATTTGGGTACCAGAAAACCAGATGGGATGAGGGAGGGGGAAATCTACTTTCCGGTGGGGAAAGAATAGGCAGGGGAAATGGCTCAACCTTCTCCCTTCTCTGTCACCTCTCTGCTCCGAATCTTACCCTGCAGAATCGCTTTTCCAGTTCAAAATATGGCCTGGCTTTTGTTACATGTGTTTGTACATATCGTGCCTTTTGGGGAAACGCAGGGAAGGCTGCTATAAACATAGCATTACGGGATTTTTTGCCCAGTGGGAAGCTCTGTTGAGCTCTCCTTGTTACTAATATGTAATAGCAATAATTGTAGGTTGATTAAGGACCATGCCTGTATCTGCTTTCGCCAGGAGACAGCTATCAGCATAGCTTTGTTGCTCTGGAGAGCATCAATCATACAGTGCCATAATGCAAGGCATGGATAGTAGGAGGAAGCTAACTGGAGTGGGTGGACTAAGGCTGGAGACAAATGATAGTCTTTTCGGAGTAATGGAGGCATCGTTGCCTGTGATGTGCACATCCATCCCATTCTTGTTTCCGGCCAAACAGTTCTACAGGTGTTTGTAGTGGCCTGGACCACAGATAACGGTGGAGCAAAACAAACGAATGTCAATAGCACCTCCAACATGCCATCTTCAACTCTCTTAAGAGCTGTTTGTCCTAAGGGAATTCTTGCCTTACTATAAAAGTGATGTGGAGGATTTTTCTAAATGTTTTTATTAAAATGTTTCATGGAGGAGTTTTGTACCTGGTATCAGATCATATCAGGTGTGGGGCAGGTGGGCATATAACTGGCAAAAGACGGCCTCACAGGCCAAATGAGGACTCCTGGTGGGCCTAATTTGACCCACAGACCCACAGAAGTGCCTGACATAGATGGATTAACTATCAGACTCAGCACAAGCCAGTCCTCTGTTCCAGAACCTGCAGCATATTGTTGCAGCGTGAAGAGCTCCTGTTCAGGGTTCCAGTCAGTCAACCATGCCCTCTTTTAGGAAACTCTGTTCCATTCCATCTGCCAGCCATTGTTCCACCCACCCCCTGCCCCCTCTCCCACGGTCACTCAGTCAGCATCCCATAGGCAGTCTACGGCACTGCATATTGGATAGAGGACAATTTGCTTTGCTATTTCAAAAAGAAATATCTGAAAATACTTCTCAAACCCTTTTCACTCATTGGCGCAATGTATTTCAGGGATTTGAAATGCCATATACTTACTTTGCCTTAGAACATAAATATATTTCTCGTGGCACAGAGGCTGAGATGGTTTGGATGCTGAAAGATCTGTGTGCCGTGAAGGGGCTTGAAAAAAAATCCATGTTTGTGTTATTGCTTGGATTTATTTTGTGTTTCCTGGAATCAAGACCCCATCTGCAGCTTTGGTCTGATTATTTACTGAGCTGTGTCTCACCTAGATAAATCATTTGGGGTGGAGGTGAATATATATTCATCTTGATCATTCTCTGCTTTCCAACGTCTACAGCAGAAAAGCTTGGCCCGTTTCTGTAACATTATTGTCCACAAGAGTTTACAAGCATGATAATTTATACATCTGTAAGGTTATCCACAGAAATTGCTAAGTGCGAAATTCTTGTGTGCCATCACAAAAATGGTTTGCTGCTGTGAATTCACAAGATGTGCCTTTCATGAACATGTTTTAATTTTATATTAGATCCATGTTTTCTCAGAACTGATTTTCAGTTTATAAATTATACCCAAGTACAGATGTCCCAGCACAAAATACATGCAACTGTCATCAGTATTTGGTGCATGTTCCTTTTTTTTAAAAAGGCTACATTTAGCCCTGTTTGCCACTTTTTGAAAGACTGCATGCCTCGATTTGTGCACATGCGCACCCTTCACACTTGAGGAGAGGTGTGTGTATTTTGTAATTGGATATCTGAATCCGGACACAAAATGAAAAGTCCTGCGACCTAAAATTATAACTTGATTGGAAGAAGGTGGATGTAACAGCTTGATCCATAGATGCTTCCCACATATCTCTCTGCCCATTATATGATATGTGTTTTATGAAATCCAAGCTGGGCCTTCAGTGGCTATAAAGAAAATCCAAATCTGTATTGTAAATGTCAGCTAAATTGCTGGCAAATAAAGGCCTGGGTTTTGCTGGAAGAGCAATAAGCTCAAGTGCACCGTGAGTTATTTATTTCCAAATGGGAGCCCTGCTATTGAAAATATCTGTTTGACAAGTGCAATGTGCAGAAGAAAATCATCCGTGCTGATTGGATGAGAGGTTGTTACCAATCAAAACACCACAAAGGTTAGCCAGAGAATAAGAAGCTGTAGGTTTGGAAAATAGATATAAACCATGAAATTGGGATCATGATGACACCCAGATACATTTTTTTACATGGCCTAAGACACTGGTAAAGGGACCACTCATCATTTATCCCATAACCACATTGAACAGGAACCAATTAAAAGGACAGAACCTCCAAAGAGGCAGCTACTAATTAACATTGTATATGTCCCTTAGTTAAAGCAGACTTATTTGTAAGTAAACTTATAAAAAGATGTTGACCAGGCATAGGCAAACTTGGCCCTCCAGATGTTTTGGGACTACAACTCCCATCTTCCCTAGCTAACAGAACTAGTGGTCAGGGATGATGGGAACTGTAGTCCCAAAACATCTGCAGAGCCGAGTTTGCCTATGTCTGATCTTGACTGTAGAGAAAGCCACTGCTGGATAATATGTCAGTACATGAAGAGCTCACGAAGAACCTTAATTTTAATGCCACATATAGCAAAGCATCCAGTGTTTAAAATGTGGAAGGAACCATGGAATAGGAATGAAACCTAGATAACATCGGTGCATGTGGGATCCCTTAGCAACAATATTAAAAGATATCTACAAAAGGCAAAACTGGGACAGTGTTTTACCATGGAGAATGACACGTGAGGCAGGCACTCCATCTGAGAAACCCTTCTCCTACCTTCTCCTGAGCTTTCCTGACGGATGCAACCAAGACCACTGTGTTGAAGCAACTCCACCCTAGTGAGTCGATTGGGAAAAATCTGTAGGTATTGTTGCTAACTTGTACGGCTAGACGCCAAGGGGCCCAAAGCTCAGACTAGGGATGTGCTCTCTGCGGCATTGCATTCTCTCTGCCTGCAAACCTGACAACGGGATAATTTCGCAATGAATCTGAATCACAAAGATCGCTGTCAATAAACCAACCAACAAACCTGCATTTATAATAAATGAAGCAAAATAAAATAAAAATCCGAGCACCGAGATTGATGACAAAGGAAAAGAAAAACTGACATGTGGGAATAAATAAATAAAAAAGAGTGCAGATATTATACTGCATGGCTGCTAAAAAATGTATTAGCATTTTTATTAGAGCTACTGCTATCTTTTGGGCTTTGTTTTGGCACATTCTCAGGAGGTATGAACTCTTCATTTAATGTAACGAGAGATTTACATGCAAGCGCTAATCTTTTATCTTTTACAACAATTACATGTTGAAGAAAATATCTTCCAAGCGATGTCAGCTTGAGTGACATGTGAGCACCCCTCTATAAGCATCTGTTACAGAAATTCTATTACTGAAAGTCTGTCACACTTTAAAATTGGAACAAACGTTGTAGGAGACCAAGAGAGTTAAAATGTTATGATGCTTTGGGGGGGGGGTGTTTTCCACTACTATTACAGAGAGCCCATATATACATACATATATATGCTTTCGTAGATTTTCACGGGTACAGGAATGCAGGTTTTGGTGTTCTCGGGTGTCTTCCCGTGTAAAAGTTGGGGTGTCTTGTAGCCTAGACACCCCAACTTTTACACGGGAAGACACCCGAGAACACCAAAACCTGCATACATATATATATATATATATATATATATATATATATGCAAATTATAAACAATAGCACATTCCTTGATGGTTTACAAAATTCACACATTTGCAAAATGCTTTGGGAACAGAGCACTAAGTAGTGTTCCTGTGAAAACAGAAGTGGAATAAATTAGCATTGTCTAGATTGGTGGATTGCTTTGGGGCTCCCTTATTTTCTTGTTTTCAGCAAGAACGTGTAGAAAGATCTCTCTCATTTCAAAGAAATGTGACTTCCCAATAATATTACATGTGTTTATGCAAGGGGGATGAAAGTGAGCATTATTACCTCTTCCAGATGAGCCACCATCACCATATATATTTTTTAAAAAAACTATGAAAACTCCAGTCCTTGTAGGAGGCAAGATGTGCAGACATTGTTTGTTTCATGCAAAACTAGCCTGCTCCTGCATTTCAGTGTTTTTAGCCAATGAATGAGGGTCATAGGAATGATACACATTTAATGAAGCAGAGCTAGCCCATTAACAAAAAGGGCAGAATGACACATTCATGGTTTGGAAGAACTTCCCTGTTCATTTTAACAAACAAAAAAATTCCTATGAGAAACGTCATTTTAAACAATTCCTGCTCTCTGGCACCATCTGGTGTTGCATGTTTAAAACACATTCAATTCTTTGTTTCTTTACGAATGTAGCTGAGTCCCTTGTTTCTTTGTGTCCCCCCCCCCCCGAGTAGTGGTTGCTGTAGAAATAGGGTTGCCATAGTTGCTTTTTTTAGGAAACCCCCAAACACGATTTTTTTTGTTTACTTGCCAAAGATCCAGGACAAGCCTTATGGAAATTCCGCCTCCCAGGCATCACTTCTACCTTTGAAATCCTGGTAATACCTGGGGAAATCTGGATGTGTGGCAGTCCCAAGATTTTAGTGTAGTTATGATTGGGCAGTGGTGTCAGGAGATAATGAGTGAGTGTAGGACAGCCCTGCAATGTAGTTCAGTATTGTTATCCAATTTGCTTCATTTCAAAAAGGAAATTGAAAGGACCCCAGAAAATAACTGCATACTTCAACTGGTGAGTGGATACTAGGCCGACCCACTGAGAAGCAATGGATTTGTACACCTAGCATGGAAGTTTGTCAGAGGGCAGGCCTACCTAGTCTAGCCCTCACCAGTTATCAGGTGCCTAGTCACCTGATCTACCAGCTCTGTCCTGTTCTAATCAATTCCCCCACTTCAGAAAAAATCCTGCGGTCACCCACAAACCTAAGAAAAGCCCTGCTGGATCAAACCAAAGACTCATCTAACCCATCATTCTGTCTTTACAGAGGCCAACCAGATGCCTATGGGAAGCCCACCTGTAAGACATGAACACAAAAGCCTGTGGTAAAAATTATTTCAAAATACAAATGTTCCATTATGTTCCCTAGAAGGGCTGGTAGTAGTTGAAGTCCAACAACTTTTGGAAAGCCACAAGTTCCCCATATTTGCATTAAAAAACATCAAAACCTAATGGACTATGCAGAATTGGACAAAATGACAGGAAGGATTCGAAACCTGCAAGACCAGAGATTTACAGAAGATTGGAAGAAGTATATGAATTATTTGAAGAGCAACTGTAATCAACAAATTACGCTAGTAGGACTACAAGAAGTTTTGTAAGGAGAAATATATGAAGTGTTACAAAGTAGGAAAAGATAGAGATATTGGTTATGAGTTTGAAATGTAATAGGGAAGATAAGAAATGCACATTGAGAGATTAGATTGGAAAATTTTCAGACAGGATTGATGGAAATCAAAAATTTGAATTAGATGTAAAAGTACCGTATGTTTAATTACTGTTGAAAATGATATGTTAAAAAAAACTAATAAAAAATATATTAAAAAAACAACATCAAAACCATTATTGTTTCAAAACACTGTGGATTATAGTTTGCATGGTTGTGCCACTGCTATCTCATTAACTGATTTCAGAGAATGTTGATCCTTGTTTTCTTTCCTCCCAAAGAGTAAGATTTAGATGGCACTGAATGAGGCTGTTTTCACACAAGTTTTCCTCTGGGACAAATAGGCAAGTAGGAGCTATTCCCAGGAGTGATCAGATATGCACAAAGCAAAAGCCATCGCTTTTTTAAAAAAAGTTTTGTTTTTTTAAAATGTGCGTTTCATGGAAGGGCTCCTGGCAGCTGATCTGAGAATGCCTTAATTATTCCAGATTAGACATGTGCAAAAATAAAGACAACAGATAAAAGGTAATGTTTAATAAAGTGAAATCAACCCAAACCACGAAGCTGGGGGGGGGGGTAGTCAAGTTAACCGCATCAGCCAAGAAAACAGGAGTGGATAGGCAGAAGTCATAGGCGCTGAACTTTCTGCAGGTGAGATGCAACATGAGCAGGGAGGAGGGCTGTGCATGCTGGTCACATGCAAAAACATAATTTTGCTGACCATGTCCCTGATGGCTATGCACTCAGTGTTACTGAGAAAGGGGCAGTATGGGCCCTATACATGTCCACAGACCCTCGAAGTGTCCCTATTTTCCAGGGACAGTCCCAGATTTACAGAACCTGTCTCAGTTTCTGATTTGATCCCAGAATGTCCCACTTTTACTTAGGACATCCCTATTTTCATTGGATAAACGTTGCAGGGTGTGGAATTATCCAACCCCAGAGCAATCTGAAGGCAGCCCTGTATAGGGAAGGGTTTCTTTAAAAAAAAAAAGTTTAATGTTTTATTTTTTATATATGTTGTAAGACACATGATGTGGTTGGGGGAAGCCTGTCAGATGGGTGGAGTATAAATAGGAAAATGATGATGGAATTGGACGTCCCTATTTTCGTCAGAGAAATTTTGGAGGCTGTGTGTCCAGGTCTCCCATGTTTTCAGGAACCCTGGATATAGGGCATGCCGTACATGCAGATGATTCCTTTTTCAAGTACACTTATAAGGTCCTTCTCACAAACACCACAAGGGGCCATGGCCAACAGAAGATGACTCAGCATCAGGTGCATGGCACAGCCCGCTTCACTCCCCACACAAATTCACTGAATGCATGAGGTTTGTAGGAACAGTTCAAGAGATGAGGGGATTATCTCTGAAATAAGATTGGGTAGCCTCACCATCAAAGCCAGAGCTGAGCTCTTCTTAATTCCAAAAGCGCCACCATGGCACACATTTAGCATTTGTCGTGGCCGCAGGTCAAGACTTCCTCAGATGCCGAGTCCTTCAGCAACTGCAGATCCAAGGAGATGGGTTCGTACTGCAGTCCATTCCATGTGGATGCACAGACATTGCAGTCTGCTCCGTGTGTCCTGAACCCTGAGTGGCTGGTTCCCAAACACCTGAGGAGATCAAGAGAGCCCTGAAAAGTGATCCCCACAGCCGAAAACCCCATTACCCCAAAGAAACCAACAGTTATAGAAGGAGGCACTGATTCTTTAACTAGTCAGGAGACAACAGTTAGATAACGGGGCCATTGGTCTATGACTACTTAGCCCAGTCTATGACTACTTACCCTCATAGGAGAGCTGGATGAAGCCTTTTCAATGGTGGCATCCGTGCAGTAGAATTCTCTCCCCAGAGAAGCTCACCTGGCACTTCCCTTACGGTCTTTTTAGCAGCAGGGAAAACCTCTTTTCTGTTTCTAGGACCTTTTAATACATTTTAGCTTTAAGCTGTTTTTATTCTCTGGGACTTGTTGTTGTACTTCAGTATTCTTTTGAATTTTAAAATGTTGCAAGTTGTCCCAAGAACCCTGTTATAAATCCTGCAAATTGATAAATAAATAATCTTACAGACGGGACCATTACTCATTCCGGCGAAGCCAGCAATCTGAACAGCTGGCCCATAGTGTGCTATCTGAGTAACACATTTGTTACAAGATGTTAGGCCTTACTTATACAATTAAAATTGAGTGGTCATTATTCCAAAATAATAACCAGTAGATAAATAAACCAGGAATTTCAGGGTCTTACAACACATTCCCTTACTGACTTAATTGGCTCAGCCGTAGGAGACTGTATCTGCATACTAAATTGCATCCACCAGAGATAGCATTTCTGTCGTTGTTTACCCAGTTATTTGCTCACCCAAAACAGTCAAACAACATCTGAGGGCCACAGGTTTCCCCATCCCTGCCTTACCCTGTTACTTATCCCAGGGTGAAACAGAAGCCTCTCATCTTGTAAGGAGGACTTTTTTGATATTTATATTTTTATACAGTATCTTGTTAGGAGGACTTGACTCTCAAAGGATAAATACAGGACTGATTCATACATGCCTCTACATTACTCAATATAACACAGAATTCAGTTGCTTCTGACTGAACATGTGATCATTCGTTCAAGTGGATTTTGGTTTAAGTGATATATAAGATGCATGAGATTCTTCATCTCAAGGTCGTGGGTTCGAGCCCCACGTCGGGCAAGAGATTCCTGCATTGCAGTGAGTTGGAATAGATAAGACTTGTGGTCCCATCCAAGTCTACAATTCTATGATTCTGCAACAGAAGCCGCTGCATATGGATTCTGCATATGAGGCCAGTTTCACACATGCAAGTCATCCTTTAATTGAGTTCTTATTCTAGGATACTCGATCACATTGAAGAGCCCTTTGGGGTGCGGATCACACAGCTCATTTCGTGAAAGGAAGCACAGATAAAGACTGTGCAGATATTGGGTTCAGTGTTTGGCACTGAAAGAGATTTCATGAAATCAAAGTCATTCTGAGGAAACACTCCGCATCTCATTGGTACAGTGGTACCTCGGGTTACATACGCTTCAGCTTACATACGCTTCAGCTTACACACTCCGCTAACCCAGAAATAGTGCTTCAGGTTAAGAACTTTGCTTCAGGATAGGAACAGAAATTGGGCTCTGGCGGCGCGGAAGCAGCAGGAGGCCCCATTAGCTAAAGTGGTGCTTCAGGTTAAGAACAGTTTCAGGTTAAGAATGGACCTCCGGAACAAATTAAGTACTTAACCCGAGGTACCACTGTATGTGCCTTTGCACCTCAGTCCTGACAAAAAAAGCATGTAAGAAATGTTTAAACATTTGCACTTATGTAGCAAACTTAGAACGTTGCTTTAAATCTTTTCAGAGCTAGAAATACGTGATACATTTTGGTCCGATTCTGAAGAGTAAATATTTTACTTATTGTAAAAGTAAATATGAACTGCCAGTACAAATGTAATTATTACTCTGTTGGGGGACTTGTTATTTCTCATTCCTTTGACCATTCTATTTTGAAGATACCTTTTAAAGCCTTTGCTTTGCAGGAGTCAAATCAATGGTATATGTTATCAAGAGGAAAGTACGCAGAGAGACAGCACAGTCTTCCGATTCATTTTATCGCACTTGCATTCTAAAATGCCATAATTATGGCTAATTTTGCCTTTCAAGCCCCAGCATGACTCATGCCTAGAGACAATGGATTTTACATTTTGCCAGATAGACCTGACAATTATATTTTAAAACATTTATTTTTACACCTTTAATAAAAGATAACCCTCCAAGTTAATATTCCGTCGCCACTGGGTATTAAAATTGTGTGCTGCTAAAGTGCCACCTACTGTATCAGCAGGAACAATACATGGCATGATAATGTGAGTCTTGCTCATAAGTTTTGGAAGCCAACACACACTCTTAGTTGTGCGTAGGATTAAGAACTGTGCAATTTGCTCCCAGAAGTCTCCCAGCCATAGGCTCGACAAAACAATCATGTGACTTATGGGATTGTCAGTGCAGTCTGCAGGGTCAGGGTCAAGCTCTGGGAGCAATTGCACACTTTCTGAGATTTGTGCATGCATTCTGTGCCTTATTTTAAGTACTCTTCTCACTTCTAAAATAATTACAGTGTTACTGAATATTCTAGGTATTAATTGCACTGATTCCTCATAGCTGTGGGACCAGGAGTAAAGCACTGGTAATACAACTTTGATGTATTACCTTTGACTACATTTTCTGAGAAACACAGCTCCAGTTCTGTGACCTGCTAGGTTTTCAGGAAACTGGATAGAGGATGTTAAGTCATGTCCTTTATTAATTAGCATTTGTGAAAAGCTGTTTCTGAAGCAAGCCTATGGTCTGCTTAAAAAAAGAAAACATACAGTAGGGGTGTGGCCCTCCAGGTGTTATTGGACTACAACTCCTACAACCCCCAACTATAGGCCATGCTGACTGAGGATGATGGGAACTGGAGTCCAGTGGCCTCTGGAGGGCCCCAGGTTCCCCATCCCTGTCATGGGGCAGGAGACCACACACAGGACAGCAGTGTGCTTATGTGGAACAAACCCCATGGTGCTGTTCCTTTCCTTTCTGCCATGGTGCGTCTGCAGCCTAAGCACTGTTGTGAAAAATAAAAGGTCTGGATGCACCTGCCCTAACAAACCTCTCAGATTCAAGCCCCAGAGCTCAAAAAGACTGAGTGCAGATACAGAAGGTGGAAAAAACATCCCTTAACAGGCTGTTTCCTTCTGGCATGCAAGCCTCTGACTGTCCTGGCATACTGCCTTGGCATGGATGCCAAGGGAACATGGGTGGGTGGATGTAAAGAATCTGTAATGCCCTATAAGGAGAAAGACCACACTCCCTGGTGTTCGTTCTGTGGCAGTGTCAGCAATATACTTTGAGTTATTCCAGGAGCAGTCTAAGTCTAAGTTCTTGTTCTTGTCTAGAGTTCATTTAAATTAAAGGTGGTTTGCCACCAGTGATATTTTTTTTTTTTTTTATAAAATTTTTATTGGTTTTAGAAACTTTTTAAACAACAAACAAACAAACACCAAAAATGACAAACATACACGTATAGTTTCAAACATATTTTCATAAACTTCTTTCCTTTGACTTCCCCATACCCCCCCTCTCTGCATCCCAGTGTCCAAAGTTCCACTAGCAACTCCCAATTGTTATTTTCCAATCTCTATCTTCTTAGTTCTTTTTTAAATTTCTAACCTTATATCCCTGTATCCCTTTATTTCTGAAAACCGCAACATTTTAGCATTCATTAAGTTTATAGTAGTCCTTAAGATAACTTTTAAATTTTTTCCATTCTTCTTCCACCGTCTCTTTTCGTTGATCACGGATTCTGCCTGTCATCTCGGCCAATGTCATATAGTCCATCACTTTCATCTGCCATTCTTCCAAAGTGGGTAGATCTTGGGTCTTCCAATACTTTGCGATGAGTATTCTTGCTGCTGTTGTAGCATACATAAAGAAAGTTCTATCCCTCTTTGTCACCAATTGGCCGACAATGCCCAAGAGAAAGGCCTCTGGTTTTTTCGCGAAGGTACATTTAAGTACCTTTTTGATTTCATTATAGATCATTTCCCAGAAGGCCTTAATCTTCGGGCATGTCCACCAAAGGTGGTAGAAGGTACCTTCAGTCTCTTTACACTTCCAACATTTGTTATCGGGCGAATGATAAATTTTTGCCAGCTTGACTGGGGTCATGTACCACCTGTAAATCATTTTCATTATGTTTTCTCTTAAGGCATTACATGCCGTGAACTTAACACCGGTGGTCCATAACTGTTCCCAGTCGGCAAACATAATGTCATGACCAATATCTTGTGCCCATTTAATCATGGCTGATTTCACCGTTTCATCCTGTGTATTCCATTTCAGCAACAAATTATACATTCTTGACAAATTCTTAGTGTTGGGTTCTAACAGTTCAATTTCTAGTTTTGATTTATCCACTTGAAAGCCAATTTTCCTGTCCTGTTTGAAAAGCTCCATTACTTGGTAGTATTGAAGCCAGTTTTGTACTTTATCCTTCAATTTGTCATAGCTTTGTAATTTCCACTTGTCTCCATCCTGTTCCAAAATTTCCCAATACTTCGGCCATCCGACCTCCATATTGAGTTTCTTTACTGCTTTAGCCTCGACTGGCGACACCCATCTAGGGGTTTTGTTTTCCAACAGATCTTTATATCTCATCCATACATTAAACAGTGCTTTTCTAACAATATGATTTTTAAAGGCGCTATGCTGCTTAGTTTTGTCATACCATAAATATGCATGCCAACCAAAAACGTTATTGAAACCTTCCAGATCCAAGATGTCTGTGTTCTCGAGGAGCATCCATTCCTTCAGCCAGCAAAAAGCTGCTGCCTCATAATACAATTTTAAGTCCGGCAGGGCAAACCCCCCTCTTTCTTTAGCGTCTGTCAATATTTTGAATTTAATTCTGGGCTTTTTGCCCTGCCAGACAAATCTCGAAATATCTTTCTGCCACCTCTTAAAACATTCCATCTTGTCGAGAATCTGCAAGGTCTGAAACAAAAATAACATTCTAGGCAATACATTCATTTTAATCACTGCAATTCGGCCTAACATTGACAATTTCAAATTTGACCATATTTCTAGATCTCTTTTAATTTCTGACCAACATTTTTCATAGTTGTCCTTGTACAAGTTCAAATTTTTAGATGTTAAATATACCCCTAGGTATTTCACCTTCTTAACCACTGTCAATCCTGTCTCCTCTTGAAATTTCTCCTTTTCCATATCTGTTAAATTTTTCCCTAAAACTTTTGTTTTTTGCTTATTCAACTTAAATCCAGCTACCTGGCCAAACTGTTGTATTATTTCTAAAGCCTTTTTCGTGCTAGTGTTTGGCTCTTGCAAAGTCAATACTAAGTCATCTGCAAACGCTCTCAACTTATAATGTTTAGCTCCGACCTGCACCCCTTTAATCTGCTGGTCATTTCTTATCATATTCAGCAACACCTCCAGAACTGATATAAAAAGTAATGGGGAAATCGGGCACCCCTGTCGTGTTCCTTTTTCTATCTTAAGTTCCTCAGTCACAACATTATTTACAATCAGTTTAGCTTTTTGTTCTGAATATATTGCAGCCATACCATTCTCAAAACCCTGGCCTACCCCCATCCCATGAAGATTCTTCCTCATAAAGCTCCAAGAAATATTGTCAAAGGCTTTCTCCGCATCCACAAAGATCAGAACTGCTTTAGTGTTTATATTCACCTCTAACTTTTCCAGAATGTCTATTACATTCCTTACATTGTCTGCCAGGTGTCTTTTAGGGAGAAAGCACCAGTGATATTTTTGCACCTTCCTTCCAGGACCAAGTTTCAGAAAAGATCTGCCACTTTAGCAGGGCAAATTATAACTCAATGATCTCTTGGCACACTGAAAACATGTTATAAGCAAATAAATGAACCAATGGTGACAACATACCAGCAGGAAGCGGAAGTCAGTGTGCCAAACAGTAGGATATTTCTCAGGATACATGATTGAATGTAAGGCAATGTTGTCTTGTGCTATGTAGATGCTTGTTTATACATGATAGGCACCTGCCCTCACATGTGTGCACACTAAGCTGTTCAATTATTGCTACAACAATGTGATTCAAGACGCAATGATAGAGTTGGTGGGTAGACTAAGTCTAATAGTATGCAATAGTAAGGAAGCCTGAAGGAACTCCAAGCTTTGAAGAAATACATAAAATTTTGGATTGCTATTGTTGAGCATAGAGTGACTCTTGTGGAATGGAAAGAATAGAAAACCAAGCTGGAAGAAGGGTTGCAATGGAGCAGGGTGGGGAACTTTGGCCCTCCAGATGCTGCAGAACTGCATGAATTCCTGCAAGTATAGCTTAATGGCCAGGGGTGGTGGCCGTTGTCATTTAGCATCTGGGAGACCAAAGTCCCAACATCTGAAGTGCAGCATCGTGTAGAAGGGCACAGATGTAAGAGTGAACAGGAGTATTCTGCACTACATTTAATGTAACTTAAAATGTCTTCTGGCCGCGGAAGGGAGCTACTGTATTTCACTTAGACTCGTCACAGGCTCCTAAGGACAGCAACAGAAACGCCAGAGAGTTGGGGAGAGTCTTTGAGATTGTGTCTCCCCCAGCCACTCCCTTGCCTACCAACAAGAAAAAAAAGCAAAGGAGGTTCATTCCATCCGATCTATGGAACAAGATACCCCCATCTGCATTTAGGACATCATAATAACCAATGCAGGTATATGCACATTGGGAAAAGGTGGATAATCCTGAGCGGGGAATCAGTGATAAGAGACCTGAGTCTCGAAAACAAAACCTAGGCGATCGAAGCTCACGTGGCAGCCTCTCCACAGCTGTCCATCTATTTAGGGGGATCCGTCAGTCATTCCAGCTCTTCCTTTCCTCCAACTCCGTGTGGCAAACTTATTTTCCGCAAACCATAATTCTTTCCCCGCCCAAAAAACAGGTTCTTCCTTCCCCCACCCTCCATCAAATCAACCCTTTTTTGCACGACCCCGTATCTCGCCCTCCCAGCGCTGTACGGTCCTCCCCCCGCCAGGTGCCGCTCTCCGCAAACCTCTCCTCTTTCCCGCCGTGGGAGTTGCAGAGCCGTCTACCCGCAACGCCTGATCCTGATTTGAATAAGTGGTGACGTGTGCGTCGGCGAGCCGCGCGAGTCCCGCAGCTCCGAGAAGCCGCGAGAGCAGGGAGCGCTTGACGCGGGGGTCAGAGCGTGTGAGAGTTGCGGGCCCGGCGGAGCAGGCAGCACCAGAGGCAACCCCATCACCGCGCAAGGACCCCCCCCTGGGGTCCTCACCCGAGGCCCATTTGCTGGCAGTGGCGCAGCAGCCCCCGTCCGCTTCGTGTCATTCCGGGGAGCTGAGGGGAAGGAGCGGGACAAGACACCGGGCCGAGCCTGCCTTCCGAAATGTCGACCAAGAATTTCCGCGTCAGCGACGGCGACTGGATCTGCCCGGACAAAAAGTGAGCGGAGGAGGAGGCAGCGAAGGGAGAAAGGCCGGGCGGGCGAGGGAGAGGCCTGGGGCGGGACGCGGGTAGCAGTGAGGCCTCGGCCCCCGTGGTGTCGCGGGGGCCGGGGAAGCGAAGGCGCGGGCGGGCGGAGGGAGCGCGCTTCTCTCTCACACACACACACGCCGCTTTCCTGGGGAACGGAGAGGTAGGCCGCTGCTGCTGCTGCTGCTGGGCCCGCTTTCCCTCAACCCCTTTAAATGGTCCTTTTGTCCAGCGGCGAGGCGGGGAGAGGGATGGATGGAGAAACGCGCGGCTTCGCTTTGCCCGTTGTTGTTGCCGTTGCCGCCGGTCGTCCTCCTGAGCTGCTTCGTTTCCACCTGCCTGCGGGTGAAAACCCGGGAGTGGGGAGTTTCCGGCCGTTCATTTGTTTGTTTATTGAGTTTGTATCCCACCTTTCTTCTAACGTTCGGCCTCATTGCAAGGGCCAGGGCTGTAGTGAGTGGGAGCACAGGCTCCAACTTTAATAATAATAATTAATAATTTATTACAGTATTATTATTTATACCCCAGCCATCTGGCTGGGTTTCCCCAGTCACTCTGGGCGGCTCCCAACAGAATATTAATAATAATTATAAGAATAAAGTGATAAAACATTTAACCCATGAAAATAGGGACAGCCCAATTCCATAATGATCATTTTTGATATTTATACCCCGCACATCTGACTGGGTTGCCCTAGCCCCTCTGGATGGCTTTCAACATAAATAAAAACATAATGAAACATTAAACATTTTTTTAAAAAAGAACACTTCCCTATACAGGATTGCCTTCAGGCACCTCAGGAGTCAGATAACTCCATACGCTTCAACATTTCTCCAATGCTAATAGGGACATCCCTAAGGAAAAGTAGGACATTTTGGGATCAAATCAGAAACTGGAACAGCTTCTTTAAATCAGGGATGTCCCTGGAAAATTGGGACACTTGGAAGGTCTGCAGTGAAAATAGAGACATCCCCTCCAACATTTTTCCACTGAAAATAGAGATGTCCTGTGGAAAAGTGGAACATTCCAGGATCAAGTCAGAAATCCGGGACTGTCCCTGGAAAATAGGAACACTTGGAGGATCTGTGAAAGGGAGATAAACTTTGAAATTTTCTCCACGCAATGTGTAATTCTGTACATCTTTTATCACATGCCCCTTTTCCCTTATTCATCTCCTTCTTTGCACTGCCATTCTGGCAAAGCAAGTTCAGCTGAGTTCAGTGGGGTTTAGGCTTAATGTGCGGGGTTGCTGCCTCTTAGTGGATGCTTTTCTGTTTGGAATGTGCTGCATTGCCTTTTGAAGCAAAGCAGCTATGTTTGCTATGAGGGATGCATGGGATGTTCTGTGGATGTTTTTTGACAATTGTTTTAGGAAACCTGGCAGCCTTAAATTGCCATAGCACTAGAAAGTTATGGGGTAACGACAATCATAATGTCTGCAGAAATGAAAGATGAATGTGCCAATCTCTGTTGGAACAAGTTCAAATTATTACATTTTCGAATCTCATGCTGGAACTAGCTAAAATACCATGTAGTAGTGAGCAAGCTAAGAACTTGAAAAGGCATTGGTGGGAAACTGTATTGTTCAGCTGTTTACACGTTTTTATCACTCATTGTATGTGTTTCAGATAGTATTTTAAAAAGCCAGTGAATTCTAAACACTTAACATATACTGGTATAAAACATATAAAATTGAGTCATTGGCTGTGCTTATGCATTGCTGAGCCATGTTTTGTTTTAAACATGGCTTGTTCAACAAACTACAGATCACCTCACCAGTGAGGAAACAAGCTCCACCTTTTTCTTTTTGCTTGCTTTCAGCTGCTTTTGCTGGGTTCAGGTATAATGCCTAGCATTTGTTAAAACAGCCCTGGTTCTTTGGTTGTCCTTGAATATTTCCACCACACTTGCCATCTTTTCCTGCCACACCAGTGTAGTGTTTTGAGAACCATTGGACTACTGCAACCGACTACAACTCTTATAATCCTTTAAATTTGGCAGTTTAGGCTGACGCTGATTGCAGCTGGAGTCCAGCAACATCTGAGCATCACAGGTTCCTTATCACTGAGCTAAAACATGCCAGCTATAAAGCATTTTTAATATATACAAAGCTTCTGAAAGCCCTGTTGCCCAAGTGCCTTATTTAGAAGATGACCATTATCTTGCCAGAGGTAGTACAAACTCAATTTCAGTAACGGTGTTACTACTGAAATGTTTAGGTATAAAGTCACACAGTTGTAATGTTTCTAGTGAGTTATTAACATACTGTGTTGCATACCTTTTGCATGGGAGAAGAATATTCAAAAAGTTAATGAGGTGCAAGCAACATGAATATCTTAAGACTGACACTATATTTGTGTTTAGAAATTTAGTTTTAAAATGTAGACTGCAATCCTAAGCATACTAACTGGAAAAAAATCCCATTAAACTGTAGAACTTTAAAGTTATCGTTTAGTATGTTTAGAAAAAATGGCTCTTCAGTCATGTTTCCTTTTTTTGAAGGTGTGGAAACGTTAACTTTGCTAGAAGAACCAGCTGCAACAGATGTGGTCGAGGTAATTATAAGTTATGCTTCTTTTGAGAGAGAAATTTATTGCAGAAACTCCAATTTATAATAAATTGTCTGAATCTTGTTAACCTTTCAGAAAAAACCACAGAGGCCAAGATGATGAAAGCTGGGGGAACTGAGATAGGGAAGACACTTGCTGAAAAAAGCCGTGGTCTATTCAGTGCTAATGATTGGCAGTGTAAAACGTATGTTTATCCTAAAGCTCTAGTTCATTTCTAATTTATATTAAACGTGTGCTTTTTCTCTTTTAATATCTAATTGTCTATTTTTAGCTGTCTGTTTTTCTTCCCTTTCTTTATTATCCGCATGTATTTCCTACTTTTTATGCAAACCAATCCTATGTATGTTTACTCAGAAGTAAGTCCCACTGTGTGCATAGGATTCCAGTGTTATGCTTGTGCTACTGCCATATTATTTACAACCACATGCATTATAAAAATATTAAAACATTAAAAATTCAACTATAAATTCTTTAGTTGGCAGCACTTCCTCTTCATTCTTAAGCACTCTTTTTGCAATTCATATTGGAAAATAAAATGGACCTAAAGGTTTTCATATAGCCTGAGATAAAAGTGCAACCTTGTGATGCCTATTGAAAGTCAACTTTCTGAATTTATAAGCATTTATTTGTATTAGTAATTTAGTCTGAATTAAGTGGCATCAGTTGATTGGCATCTGTTTCTCTTCTCCTTTCCCTTATTTCACTGACATCATATGGGAACTGCATAATTGCACTACAATTTGTATGTGGTAGAAGAGTATTTCCCCAAACTTCATTTTGCTGACCCGCAAAAAGAAATCAGTTTGGTTGCCTGCTGACTCGAAATACAGGGTTTTGCTTGCTTTTTCTTAATTGTACTTTGTTCAGATGTCATCCAAGTAGGAGAATAGGTTTGTTGCGTATGTTTTTGGAACTGTTTTCACTACACAAAATAAGTCTTCACCAATGTATCTGCTGTAAAAGGAGATCATTGTTGTCAGTTCTGTATTTTGATTAAAAGTTGTTTAAATATCAGTGATATTCACTATTGTATACTTAAAGTATCTTGGAAGTAATAAAATGACTCCTGTAGGTCTTAAAAATGGGTTTAAAAATTTGAGGTATTGACTAGTTTAATTTCTTAATTTTTGAACCAATGTAGTTCCTGTATTTAAACTGTCAATCATATGTTTTTCTTCCCAAAGATGTGGCAACGTTAATTGGGCCAGGAGATCAGAATGCAATATGTGCAACACACCAAAATATGCCAAACTTGAGGAAAGGACAGGTATTTGTTTCAAATTATCTAAAATAATGTTTTTAGAGATACAGCACATGCAACCATATTCCCTCCTCCTTTGTGAGCAGCTTTTGTGATAAAGCAATGTTGAACTTTGGGAACTGTTGGCTTGGAACCAAAAGCATTCCACACATTGCTTGCTTTTGCTTTAGCAATTTTCTCTGGGGTTGTGGCAATTTAAAGTTAAGTTTCTGAGAGATTTGGGTGTGTCCTGGAAAGAAAATGAAAATCTGCTGAAAGGGCACCAAAACATCTCTGTAGACCATAATGGTGAAATAAGAGATCCCAGAACTTCTTCAAGAGTTACTGAGATTTCCAGACATCTTACTTCACATGTTTAGAGAACGTAGGTGAAGAGACTTGGCCTTGTTCTCAGCCCCCTTGTGTTGCTAATAACTAGACCCTTGAGAACTTTGTGTTAAGCTGGTTTTGGTTCTGTATGCTACATTATAGCACTTGTCAATAAGTTAGCTTAATGTGCACACACACAACAAAAGGCCTTTGTCCCTCTGCCATACATAGTAAATACCACCGCAACATTGATCTGCGTGTTTTGTCAATCCCCTCTTCCCAGCTCCATCAATGCTTAGCACATGCCCTTCCTCTGCCACCTCTCAGCACTAAGGAGTGCTCAGTATGAGAGTTACCGCTCCTCTCTACCGTTGTATCCTTTCCTCTTGCAGACCATGAGGAGTAGGAAGGTGCAAGCGCTCTGCAGAACGTAAGTGCTTGAGCTTTGA